CGTGGTCATGTTAGATGTAGCCTGGGAATTCTAGGTCTTCTAACTGGAACCACAAATGTGCGGTTGGCTCCTGTTGTTGACTCCGTGCATATGTGTTGTTTCCTGCTTTCGGCAAACAAGTGTTGCCCATCTTTACACTTGGCTGCACCGCGCTGATGAGGCCAATAGCCAGAAACACGTGTCCGCGGTTAGCTAATTTTCCGAAAGCTACTAGCTACTGTCAAAAAACATGGCCAACACTCAATTTTTTTGAGATTTTTGAATGATCACACATTGCGGAAGTCTCACAGTTAGACTTATGACTATTGTATGGTGGTGGAAAAAATAAGACATAAAGAGATTCGCATAATTTATTGTTCGAAAAATGATGAAAATAACTCTGCAGGAGGAATTTACGAAAATAACGATGAAAATGAAAAGCTGTATAAACAAATAAATAATGTTGAAGTATTTGAGATACATTTGTACATAACCGTTTCAAGAATACAACGAAACATATTCGCTTAACATATATTTGATACTCAATACCAAATATAGTGAAACTTACATTATTTCATGAAATGATGAAATGGAAATATGTCTGGTAGATTTAAAAGAAGCACCTTATATATGTAGGACATTCAAAAAGTTGATTTTTTGGTAACATATTTTATACATTCATATAACCACTCATGCAAGCAGAATTATCTACCCAAAAATATGTTATATATTTTTATAACAATATAACTGCCTTTCACACATTTTGAAGGGTATTATAATTTATGAAAAATATACACTACAAGTTTTTTGTGATTGTTTCAATGATAGTAAAGTGAATGATAAATAATTTATGACATGATGTAATAATTTAATAAATAAAATAAATTCAACTAATTACAAATAACAACTGATCGTATCGACTAGATTTGCACATAATACTGATTTCAGGAAAAGCAACTGACTAGAAAGAAACCTCAAAATTTGTTGCCTATTTTTCCTGAAGCTTTGTGGAGTAACATTTATTTTTGATATTTTATATCCAATTTCACTTTCATGTATAGGTTTCTATAGACACGACTTCTTCTACTGTGGGTAGTTGCTGTAGTCATAATGATAATCATTATAGTCTGGCGGAATAGGCTCATTTTTTTCTTCATCTGATTGATTGAGGAAGGCGTCTAGCAGCCTTGCTTCGGAACGTCTTCTTCTACCTCTGAAAAAAAAATGAGTCAGTGAATACAGCGATCATGTTTGAATAAATTTGTTTGAAACTGTGTTAGATCTCAGTCATTTCGAAACATTTTTTATACGGTCCAGCCGAAAGGATTGTCTTGAAATAGGAACAAGTGTCGGATAATCAATATCAATTTTCAATGTATTGCTATTTCTTATGTTTGTTTGGAGGTGATTGACAATGTTTCATTAGTTAGGACTTCCATTGTGTAATCTAATATATTAAAATGGATGTTTAATAATAATAATAATAAATGAATTTATTGACAGCTGAAATAACATGATACAATATGGAGAAAAACAAAATACAAATTTGTCAATAGGATTACTCCAGCCATGTAAGAAACTATTTGGATACTACTTTTCCCGGTCGTTG